AAGGAAATTGTGCTTTCCGAAGGCCGGTTGGCCAAGCTCTTGAAATTGACCACCACGGGTGTGTCTAACTATGACCGAAAGGGGTGGATTGATACCCAAACTACGGGATACAAGGACTATCTCGGGTACTTACTCTGGAAAGAGGACGGGTTCACCTCGGCCACTCGACCAAACCGAAAGTGGCTATCGGCGGAGCAAAAGATATTGGTTATGATTGTAACCGATAGCCTCTTGCCCACAAATAACAAGAGCAAGGATGTGGGGAGCTTAGAGTGCACCTTTGCGTATCTCCTAAAACATAAAATCAAGTTCAGCCTGCCGGCACTCATGCTAAAGCACATAGAGTTCTGCAAGACAAACAACCGGCTTAGCCTACCCTACGGGATGATCCTAAGTTGGATCATGGAGAAAAAGGGGGTAGACCTAAGCCACACCGAGGTCAAAACCGCCAATGGCATGGTTTTCAATGCCCAAAACCTCCGCCGCAACGACATCTACTACACTGAAGGAGGACACTATCTCACCCTCGAAGAAATTTGCCAAAAACCCGAGGACGAACGTAGGGAATTGGTTGATCGGTTGGACATCTCCAACAAAAAGCTCAAGCGAGCCATGCAAAATTGCGGAGGTACGGAGGGAAATGAGGGACAAGAGGAGGAAGACGGGCCTAACCCGTCAGTGCACCCACAGCCAGGAGGGAACCCGAGGGGACAAGACGAGGGTTCGGTCAACGAACGCATACTCGCACAGCTCGACCGACAGAATCAAATCATGGAAGAAGGGTTCTCATCCTTGATTCGCACCACACGCGCACTCGATCAAAGAGTAGCAGCAATCGAGGCCGCCTTGGGCACTCGCGGTGCACCGAGTTCCAGCGCAGGAAACCGAGGTACAACCGAAAACTTCTCTATCACAACACCATCAAAAGTTCAGCCTACCCCAAGACAAGACAAACGTAAGGCCGCAACCCTAATCAGGAGGCCGAGCTACGAGGTGTCTAGGGGTGGAAGGATGGACTATAACACCGGGCTTCGGGGACGAAGCCCCTTGTAAGGGGGGGGGGGGAGAGTGTAACACCCCGTGTTACGGCCCCTAAAACCAATTAGTTAATTAATCAATAACCCAAGAGAAAGAATAAATTATAATGATTAATTAGGGAAAAAGGCCCACCATAGTCCATGGGCCCTCATATATAAACCCAACCCCTAAGCCCAATCCTTAGTTCCAAAAGGAATAGAATTAGCAAACCTATAATATTAGTTCCTAATTAGGACTCCTAAATATATAAATAGGGGACTTAAGAGGCACCTAGAACTCCCCACAAGATTAACGCCCCACCACCCCAAAAGAGCTCCAAGAATCCCCTTAGGAGAAATCAAGAAAGCAAGGAAGCTTAAAGAAAGATCCTTCATAGCCAAGGAATTAATTAAGGCTAAGAGGTAACCCATGTCTCAACAAAACCTATTTTCATAGTTATAATTCCCCCTTAGGGTTTCCCCATATTATTGTATATTGGCGAGTTATGATGATTATTATTGGTAATTGATGCGATGATCCCATGGGGGATCTTGATAATCTTGATATTGGGAGATTCTTTATGATTATATGGAGTTCTTGATGATTATGTGTTGTTCTTGATAATTGTGTGATACTCTTGATGTTTATGTGTTATTATTATCGAATCTTGCAATTAGAAGACGAACCGTATTCTTGTTGATATAAAAGTGATTAGAACCCTAGGTTGTATCGTATGATCTTATTCTTGGATTATCGGGTGGGGAAATCGCATGTTTGGGTGTTGATTATATTTAGAAAAGCATGATAGGTTATGTGCCGTTCGTTTCTTGTATTTGATTCGTTAATTGTCTACGTGTTGTCGTTAATTGCGTTGTAAAGTGTCTAAGCATGGTTTCGGGTTCCACAACGGTTCCCGGGGCGTAAACTGCGTGAAAAGAGTCAGTGGGGGGTAGGGGACCCGCCACTTACCCACGGCCGTGAAACACCGCCCGGCAGCGGGTGGCCGGCGGGCGGGCAGCTGCCCACCGGCGACCCGCTGCCCGGAACAGTAAAGTCCGGCGGGTGGCCCCCCACCCACCGGCTACCCGCTGGAAATTATCCCACCTTGGGATCCCGGCTTCCCCGTTTGATGTTCTCCCGTTCCCCGTGGTGTCCCAACAGACCCCGTTTATCGTGCCTATGTCTAGTTTGATGTTTCGGGTACCGTTCGTAGGTTTATGAGTCTTATATATTGCATGCTAGTTGGATTGGTATCCCGTTGACCTAGGTGGAAGAAGTATGAACCCCTTAGGACCATTCTTAGTATGTGAAGGATCACGCATAGGTTTTGATATACACTTTCTCCCCTTCCCAATGTGTTAATGTGGGTTGCATGTGCTTGCTATGTGTTATGTGTGTATGATACCCCAATTCGGTTGCGATCGGATTGGTTATTCCTGAGCTGCGGTTCAGAAGCTGGCTGCTGTCAGATTTACACTCTCGGGCTGCGGTCCACCGTTTGGTTGCGATCAAACGTTTCTATACGAGCTGCGGTTTGTCCTTTTTCCTGGCTGCGGTCAGATGACATTCTCTTGGGCTGCGGTCCACTGTTTGGTTGCGATCAAACACTATGATGAGCTGCGGTTCATCGGTCGGTTGCGATCGACCCCTCCATGTTGCGATACGGGGCAGGGTGCTGCGGGGCCGTGTCAGAGCTATATGCGCTGACCGTCATGTATGGGCATGCGATTGGTCCTGTGGCGCCAACAAAGTGTGTTATGTGTTGTGACAGGGACGAGTTGTGATTACGAGTGTCTTGGGGGATGTGACTATGGGATTTATATTGGGGATTGTTCATGTTGGGTTATGATCATTGTTTATGCTTTGCCTTATCTGCCTTATCTGTTGTGAACTGCATATGCTCGTTATAACTGTTGCTTGTGTCTGGCTCTTATCTGTCGAGTCATTCCCGGTTTAAAGCTAGAGTTCGTAGGACATATCTTCATGCTCAAAATGGTTTTCGTATATCTATATATATCTCTATATGTATTGTATTTCAACGCGTTGGAGTGGGTTACCAGCATCTCTCGCTGAACAGATATATTTGGCTTTCGGGCACAGAGGACTAGAGCACTGGAGCGCGCTAGAACTGGAACGTAGAAGTAGATTAGTTTCCCTTTTCGGCCTGCGCGCCATATTATGCATTGTGTTTCAATGGATACTAGTTAGACAGCCTGTGCACCTGGGTTCTCTAGCCCTGGTGTGGCATAGCACCCCATACGCTTGTATTTATATCTTGGGATTTAATAAGATTCTACCTTTATTATAAGTTTTAAATGTCTTAAAAATCTGGGGTGTTACAGTTCCATCATGCACTTTTTGTCTCACAACATGGCAGTCTATTTCAATATGCTTAGTGCGTTCATGAAAAACATAGTTCTCCCCTATAGCAATAGCAAACTTGTTGTCACAAAACAAAGCAACAGGGGTGTCAAAGGTAATTTGCAAGTCTGCCATCAAATATAAGAGCCACTGAATCTCACAAGCGGTGGAAGCCAAAGCTCTATATTCAGCCTCAGAGGAGGACCTTGAGACTGTGACTTGCTTCTTAGCCTTCCAAGATATCAAAGATTGCCCAAGGTAGACACAATAGCCAGTGATGGACTTTCTTGTTTCTATGCAGGAAAGCCCAATCTGAATCAGAGAATGCTTTCAGCCTTATAGTGGAATCTGCTGGATAGAACAAACCTGTTCCAGGTGATCCCTTCAGATACCTAAGGACTCTATGAGCAGCAACCAGATGAGTGTCCTTAGGCTTATCCACAAATTGACTTAGCTGTTGAACAGCAAAGGATATATCAGGCCTTGTGTTTGTGAGATATAGGAGCTTTCCAATCAATCTTCTAAAAACTTCAGGTTTGTCAAGGAGCTGTCCTTCCAAAGAAGTTAATTTCTGTCCAGTGTTGAAGGGTGTGCTTGCTGGTTTGGCTTCCAAGAAGCCATTTTCTCTCAGAATTTCCAAAGTGTATTTTCTCTGGCAGAGACTGAGACCACTGGCTGTTCTGTATGCCTCTATTCCTAGAAAGAAATTGAGATGGCCTAGGTCCTTGATTTTAAAGGACCTGTCTGGGAAAAGCTTTAACTCATCAATCTGTTTAGAGCTTGGCCCTGCCACTAGGATATCATCTACATAGACTAATAGAGCTATGAATGATGAGCCTGAGCCTCTGATGAAAAGTGAAGGGTCAACAGAAGACTGGGAAAAACCAACTTCCTGCAAAGCTTTGGTTAGTTTGGCATTCCACTGCCTACTAGCCTGTTTAAGACCATATAGGGATCTTGACAACCTGCATACTTGTCCAGGTTTGTTACTCTGAAACCCTGGAGGCAATAGCATACAAACTTCCTCATCTAAATCACCATGAAGAAAGGCATTATTGATATCCAACTGTTGAATGTCCCATTTTTTTTGCAACAGCTATGGCTAAAAAGGTTCTAATTGTGGTTATTCTTGCCACAGGAGAAAAAGTTTCAAAGTAGTCCACCCCCAACTGTTGTGTGTAACCCTTAGCAACCAATCTTGCCTTATACCTCTCTATTGAGCCATCAGCTCTATGTTTCACTTTATAGACCCATCTGCAGCCAATGGGGACTTTCCCAATTGGCAGATCTGTTATGGTCCAAGTGTTATTTTCTACTAAGGCTTTTATCTCAGCATTCATTGCTTCCCTCCATGGCTTGTGTTGAACAGCCTCAGCATAAGACTGAGGTTCTTGTATGGATGAGATGGCAATGGCACATGCCTTATGGCTGGGATGCAAGTGGTCATATGATATAAACTTCTCAATGGAATGGGGAGATGTCTTGGTTGCTGAGTGACAATAGTAATCCTGCAGTTTTGATGGAACATGCTTATTCCTGGATGATCTCCTTAAATGAGTTTCAGTCACTTGTTCTTCTGTGCTATCAGGCTGCAACACACCATTATCCATCCCAGCACTTATTTATGAATTATTGGTGTTATCATGTGCCATACTTTCTGACTCACAGTTGATCTCAATCTCAAAATTGTCATTGTTCCCAATACTAATGCTTCCATTATTTTCATTCCCAACTACAACTTCAGTCAGTGTGTGTGTTGGGGTAGAGGCTGGAACATCTGCTGTGATAGGGACCAGAGGCAAAGGGGGATTGAACCTTGTAGCTGTATCAATACCAGGCCCTTCTGGATTCAATATTTTGAAGGGGTATGTCTGCTCATGAAAATGAACATCCCTAGATATAAAAATGGATTTATCAGTCATGTCATACAATATATATCCCTTCACATTTGCTGGAAACCCAATAAAGACACACTTCTTAGCCCTTGGTTGCAACTTATTCCTTCCCTGCTTAATGGTGGCTCCAAAACACAAGCAACCAAAGGTTCTCAACTGATTGTAGTCTACAGGCTTCCCAAACATCACCTCAAATGGTATTTTTCCATCAAGAGCTGTGGTAGGCAATCTATTAATCAAGAAGGAGGCATGAAGGACACAATGACCCCAAAGATTTATAGGCAATCCTGACTGAAACCTTAAAGCTCTTGCTACATTCAATATATGTTGGTGTTTCCTCTCTGCTATCTCATTCTTCGTGGTGTGTGGACACAATATTTCTGATGCACAATCCCTTTTTCATTGAAAAAAACAGTCATTAAGAACTCTCCTCCATTGTCTGTCCTTACTGTCTTAATTTTAGCAGAAAATTGTGTATGCACATAGGAGTAAAAATTCTGGAATATGGACTTGGTTTCTGATTTATGTTTCATCAAATGTAGCCATGTAAACCTAGTGTGATCATCAACTATAGTCAGAAAATAGTGCTCCCCTTTAAGAGATGCAGTAGCAAAAGGCCCCCAAACATCCATATGCACCAAATCAAAACACTTTGCAGCCCTAGTTAAGCTAACAGGGAAAGTGGACCTTTTATGTTTAGCAAAGTGACAAGCATCACACACAAAATTATGAGGCTTATGAACATATGCAAATTTTATTCCATGTAAAAAATGCAACTTATTAACTGGATAATGCCCCAGTCTATTGTGCCAAGTTTCCATAGACAAGCTATTACATTGGATATTAGATTCTTCATTGCAGATAGACACCTTCTTCTTGACTGGAGGATGACTGATAAGATATAAACCATTCTTCTACTTAGCAAAACCAACCATCATCCCAAGATGCCCCTGAATAGTGCAAGTATTAGCTGCCATGACAACTTCACAATCTGATTGCTTAGTCAATTTGCTCACAGAGATAATGTTGAAAGCAAAGGATGGTATACACAACACATTATGTAACATTATGTCTGCATGGAGTCTGACTTGCCCTATATGTGTGACACTCACTGTTTCCCCATTTGGCAATTGGACAGAAACCCCATGAACCTTATGATAATCATCAAAGTATTCTATAAAGCAAGCAATATGATCAGTAGCTCCTGAATCTAATATCCAGTTAATGTGTGAATCCAAGATGGCATTTATATGAGGAGTAAGAAGAAACCTGCCTTCATTATGTGTCTCCATGTTTTCTTTGAAGCTAGATCTGAGTCTAGAGGTGCTCACAGTGATAGCAGCATTGGTTGAGGCTTGACTTCCTACATTTTGATTCTGCAAAAACAACAATAGTTTCTGAATTTGATCATTAGATATCCCTAAATCACTGACTTGGTTCACAGAGGGATTTGAGGCTTGTGGCATGTCCTGATTCTGCCTGTTTTTGGACTTATACCCCTAGATCCAACCTGTAGGATAACCATGCTTTTTATAGCATTTCTCTATAGTGTGACCAGTCATGCCACAATAAGTGCATTTGGGAACATTCTTCCCTCCATTGTTAAACTTCTTCTTGTTATTGTAGGAAGTGGAAGCTGCTACAAGACTTTGATCATCTGCAAGTTGAGTATTGGCCTGAATGGCATTGGAATGAGCTATCTCACTGTTCCTCTGATTGCTTACACTCCTGATCTTTCTTTCTAGTTTTAGAGTCATATTGAGAGTTTTCTCCATAGTGGGAAGGGGATCCATGACAAGGATTCCAGCTTTAACTGTCTCAAATTCTTCATTTAAGCCTTATAGGAAGCGAATTATCTGATCAGCTTCCCTCTCCTTCTGGATCTTACTGAGAAGGCTGCAAGAGCACCTAGGAACACACTCACACCTGGGGATCGGCCTCATGATCTTCAATTGTTCCCATAAGGCATTGCTTTTAGTAAAATACTCACTAACTGTCATGGTGCCTTGTGTGTTTTTGAAGATTTCATTCTGCAATTCTGCAATTTTGTGAGGATCAGTCTGAGAATATCTCTTCTCAAGAGTACTTCATATGTCATTAGCATATTCAAAGTACAAGACACTCTCTATGATAGCATGATTGAGTGATTTGAGAATCCAGGAGCAAACAATACCGTTGCATCTCTTCCACTGAGGATATTTAGGATCAGATTCTCCTGGATTTGGAATGCTCTCATCGATGAAACCGAGCTTATTCTTGACTCCTAATGCAATCCTCATTGATCGATTCCAGGACGCGTAGTTTAACTCTGACAGGGGCGGAGACACGAGGATCACATTCGGATTTTCAGTGACATGGAGGTACAACGTATCGTCTACCTTGTCCATTCTCCGGCTAGTGTTGATCGGAACTTGACTCACCGGACTTTGATTTGAAGAAGCCTCTGCTCCTCTGATCGTATTCCTGTCTCCGTCATCCGGCATCACAACCGTTGCGGCGTAACTTTGGCGACGCTCTGATACCATGATGAGCTTAGCATGGATTCATGAAGTCAGATGGCTGAGCAGTAAGGGAAGGATTGTATTGAAGATGAAAGATGATGAGAACTGTTGTGTTTGTTACAAGATAAGAAAAGCCACACAGCATAAGCTATATACACCAGAAAGCAGTTATAACTGCTAGGAAAAATGGAAAAGACCATAAAGCCCTTCCTTATTAAGTAACTCTAACTACCATCCTGTTGACAAGGAGTAGACTATTCCTGCTTCATCAACTGCTGCTTCTTGATTCATTCATCAATATATATATATATATATATATATGGCCTACTATCAAAGTATGTCAACTCTAACTCAACTGTTTCTAACAGCCTAGCGGAAGATCCATGATTGGTTTAGTAGCAGTTTCATAAATAAGTGTTGAACCTTGTAGAATGTATGCAGTTTTATTATTCAATAAAATCCTTCTTCTTACTTCCTTTATTTCTTACTCCTTTTTCCTCAAATGGTATCAAAGCCCTAAATTGATTTCGGCTCCACAATGGCTTGGCAAACTGCTCCGAACAACACAAGGCCACCAACTCCACCTTCAGCTCCGCCACCAACTCCGCCGCAAGTTTCACCTGTACAGAACGCATGCTCAACTTCCAATGCAACCGAACATTTGAATTCAGATCAAGGTAGTCCCTTTTATGTTCACAACACTAATCACTCTCAAAACACTTACATTTTAGATACTAGTACCAGCAACCACACAGTTTGTTGTATGAGTTTTCTCGTCAACCCTCAGATTGTGCATGGTATGTATGTTGAATTGCCTAATGGGGGTAGCTGCTATTACTCATGTTGGATCAATATCTCTTATTGGTTTGACACAGACACTGTACAATGTGCTATGTGTTCCTACATTTCATTATAACTTGATTTCAGTTAGTGAGCTTATCAAAGATACTGGATATAGTACGTGTGTTACTCAAATCAAATTACTATGTGATACATGAACAACCTTATGGCAAGATGATTGGGCATGCTAGACTGCAGGAAGGACTTTATCACTTAGATAAGTCTGTTTTTTCCCTTTCTTCTTGTATACATGATGATAGAAATACCTCTGTTAAAGAATGTTTTTTTTTTTTAATATGTGGCATGCTAGACTAGGGCATGCATCCTTTCAGAAAATAAAACTCTTAGGCGAGTTAGATTCTTCAATTAGTAGCAACAGTAATCTTGTTTGTGATAGTTGTCACTCGGGTAAGCAAAAATGATTGCCTTTTCCTGTCAGCAGCTCTGTCACTAATGCTTGTTTTGAATTGATACATATTGATATATGAGGTCCATATCACATTTCTTCCTTGTATGTTCATCACTACTTTTTAACTATAGTGGATGATTACAGAAGGGCTACTTGGGCTTACTTGATGAAGGGTAAGGGTGAAGCCACGGAATTGGTTAAAGGTATTTGTGGGCAATTTATATCCTACACCACGGCGCGCGTTTCACTGTGCGTCCAGATGCAAAACGACGTCGTTTTAATTTTTTTTTTTTTTTTGAAATTTCCCGCCCCAGTGTATGGCAGTTAATTTTTCTTTAAAAAAAAAAAACCCATGTTCAAAAATGTACATAATGTAATACTAAAATACACATAATTGTATATATGAATGTACATAATTATATAACAAAATATACATACTCTTTTTAAAAGATAATACACATAATCTAACATAATACATAATAAACATAAACTTTTAACATAATACACATCAACTCTTAACATAGTACACACAAATTTTCTGATTCGGATGTACATAATTGTATAAAAAGAATGTACATAATTGTATAAAAAATGTACATAACTGTATGAAAAAATATACATAATTGTATGAACAAATATACATAATTGTGTGAACAAATATACATAATTACAGCAACTTCCTACCGCGCCTCCCAAAACGACCCCAAAACGACGTCGTTTTGGGAGGCGCAAGGCACACAGTGCTACGCGCACCGTGGTGTAGGGTATAACGATTGGTATTTGTGCCATGGTTTATACACAGTTTGGGCTAAGCAGCGATATGTGATCCTGATACTCCCATGGTGCAATGTTGCTGCAAATATTATTATTATTATTATTATTATTATTATTATTATTATTATTATTATTATTATTATTATTATTATTATTATTGTTGTTGTTGTTGTTGTTGTTGTTGTTGTTTTTGTTGTTGTGGGATGACCACTTTCTTAAATAGTTACATGCATAAGGTAGTGGATAGTTTTATTATCCTGTAAAAATACATACATATATATTTGAACAAAGATCGTGAAGAATATATTAATTGTCTGGTGACATTTTATTCTTTAAGCCGATACTAAAGGCATGCCCCAGTAACCATTTGTTATATATTCGGTTTGCAAAGAATAACCATCATGAACTCATAGGTTCTTTGTGCACAAACGGGTAGTCCAGACTAAACCCATCATTAAGGATGCACTACGAGTGTTATCATATTTATTTGTGGTTCCGTTTCACGTGTACCAATTTTCTACATTCTTATGCCGACTTATACTTGCGGCTAAAAAAGTGGAGGACTTGCGATGGAATAATATTCCATATTATTATTATAATAATAATAATAATAATTATTATTACTATTATTATTATTATTATTATTATTATTATTATTATTATTATTATTATTATTATTATTATTATTATTATTATTATTATTATTATTATTATTAGTAGTAGTAGTAGTATGCGGATGACCAATTTGGGATAATTTTTAAAAGTCAGGGGACCACATTGAGTGTAATTGAAAGTCGAAAAGCAAAATTGAGAATGAGCTATAGTCGAGGGACCATTTCGAGAAAAAAACTCAATAATGTATATTAAGCAAGTACAGAACGTACTTCATTCATATTAATATTGATGGATTATATGAACCCGGGGGGCCAGATTATACAACCCGAATATTTGATTAAATATGACGAACGAATAATAGAACGATAAATATTATATTAATTGAGCATAAAATGCTATTACAGAGGTTCGGGACGTGTAATAACGTTACAAGTATTGTCTGAAGGTAGGAGAAGCTTGATTAGGACACCGAGGGGTGTTTACATACTCCCCGACTGGGCCATGGGCCCGCGGGAGGAGCCGCGACCCGTGCCGCGAGACTCGCTCCACGCGAGGACCCAGCCCTTGGCCGAGCACGGAGCTCGGCCAATGGGCCGTGCATGGGCTCGGTCGAGCCCATGTGGCTGAGGCCGAGCCCACGTGGCCGAGCCTCTGGGGCTCGGCCGACCTCGAGGGGGTCGGCCAACGCCGATCCCCCGTTGGGCCGACCCCGGGGTGGTTGACCGGCCACGGGGCGGTCCGCCATGCGTCGCGGGGTCTGACCCGGTCTGTGTTGTTTTGCTCCGATCCTGCTTCGTGATTATTCCATCATCAGTCCCCCACTCTCGGGGCTGCGAGAAGTCGTCAGCGCGAGAGAGTAAAACTGTAACACCCCAGATTTTCAAGATATTTAAAACTTGTAAAATAAAGGTGAAATCTCATTAAATCGCAAAACATAATACCAGAGTACGGAGTGCTATGCCACACCTGAGCTAGAGAACTCAGGTGCACAGGCTAACTAACTAATATCCTCAAACGGTATCAATACTAAATCATGGCACGCAGGTCGAAAGGGAAAAAATATCTAAGCTACGCCCAAGCTTCTAGCGCGCTCCAGTGATCTACTTGTCTGTGCCTGAAAGCCAAATATATCTGTTCAGCGAGAGATGCTGGTAACCCACTCCAACGCGTTGAAATAAAATACATATATATATATATATATATATATATATATATATATATATATATATATATATATATATATATATATATATATATACGAAAACCAATTTGAACATGAAGATATATCCTACGAACTCTAGCTTTTAAAACAGGGATAGACTCGACAGATAGAGCTAAGCACAGACAGCAGTTATACCCAGCATATGCAGTTTACAACAGGCCAGACAGATAAGATAAGCACAATAAATAATCATAACCCAACATATAAATTCCTTGGTACCAATCCCATAGTCACATCCCCAAGATACTCATAACAACAACTCCTCCATACTTCATCACATAGCACACTTTGTTGGCGCCGCAGGACCAATCGCATGCCCATACATGAGGGTCAGCGCATATAGCTCTGACACGGCCCCGCAGCACCCTGCCCCGTCTCACAGCACGAAGGGGTCGATCGCAACCGATCGATGAGCCGCAGCTCTATATAATATTTATATACCTGACCGGTCTTTACCAGCCTGGTTAACAGTTGGGATGGTTCTCAACCCATTCAACTGCCCGTATAGTGGACCTTTGTCCTATATATTATTTATATACCTGACCGGTCTCTACCAGCCTGGTTAACAGTTGGGATGGTTCTCAACCCATTCAACTGCCCGTATAGTGGATCTTAGTCCTATATAATATTTATATACCTGACCGGTCTCTACCAGCCTGGTTAACAGCCGGTATGGTTCTCAGCCCACCCGACTGCCCGTATAGCCCGATTGATCTCAACCAAGTCGGGGTAACATGCACACATAACATATAGCAAGCACATGCAACCCACATTAACACATTGGGAAGGGGGAGAAAACGTATAACAAAACCTATGCGTGATCCTTCACATACTAAGAATAGTCCTAAGGGGTTCATACTTCTTTCACCTAGGTCAATGGGATACCAATTCAACTAGCATGCAATATATAAGACTCATACGACCTACGAACGGTACCCGAAAATCAAACTAGACATAGGCACGATAGACGGAGTCCGTTGGGACACCACGATGGTCGGGGGAACATCAAACGGGGAAGCCGGGGTCCCGAAGGGTGGGATTTTCCAGCGGGTAGCCGGTGGGTGGGGGTTCACCCGCCGGCTGCCCGCCGGTATGTACTGTTCCGGGCAGCGGGTGCCCGGCGGGCAGCTGCCCGCCCGCCGGCTGCCCGCTGCCGGAGCTCTTCTTTTGGCCGCGGGTAGGTGGCGGGTCCCCTACCTCCACCTACCCCCCACTGACTCTTTTCACCAAAAACGCCCCGGGGACCTTTATGGAACCCGAAACCATGCTTAGACATTTTCAAACGCAATTGATAACACACGTAGACAATTAACGGATCGAAATCAAGAAACAAACGGCACATAACCTACCATGTTTTTCTAAACATAATAAACACCCAATCATGCGAAATCCCACCCAATATACCAAGAATAATACCATACGATACAACCTAGGGTTCTAATCGTTTTTAAATCAACAAGGACACAATTCATCTTATAATATCAAGATTCGGTAAGAATATCACATAAACATCAAGAACATCCTACAATCATCAAGAACATCATATAATCATCAAGAACGTCATATAATCATCAAGAACACCATAATTATCAAGAACCTTTCGTCATCAAGATCACCCATGGAATTATCCCATTAATCATCAATAATAATAATACAAATCATCAATACACAATAATATGGGGAAATCCTACGGGGGAAATCATAGCTATGAAAATAGGTTTTGTTGAGACATGGGTTACCTCTTAGCCTTAATTAATTCCTTGGCTATGAAGGGT